ATATAATTCACAATAAAAGAAAAAAGAAAATCAGTTCAGCAGTGGCTTCAAAAAATTTATGAAAAATGTAATGAAAAAAATAATGGAATTTTTTTCCCTCTTGTATTTAGTACCTACTAGGAGTCCTAGTGTGGCACTGTAGAATAAATACCAAAGTGCTTCAAGGTCAATTTGAACCACAAGGTTAGCAGTTCAAACTCTCTATCTGTTCCTCAGAAACCCTATAGAAGGTTGCTATGAGTCAGAACCAACTCAACAGCACTTAACAAAAATAGCTGAGTAACAGTTTCTTAAAACAGGATGATTTTTATGGCTTCTTTTTATGTTCTGAAATGAGTAATGGAGCCATCTGGGATCAGCAGATTTTAACTCCCTCAAGACAAGAAGTCTTACTTGGCTTTATAATTTGGCACTATGCCAGGCCCAGTGCCTGGCACTCAAGTGTGTATCAAATAAGTGAGTGAACGTGTGAGTAAGCCTTTTTGTAGAGCTGATCCATGAATATTTGACAAAAGAATAAGGTAATTTTCTAGATAAGAAAAATGGAGGTTTAGAGAGTTCAGGTAACTCACCGAGTGTCACACCGTAAGTGGAAGAGCCAAGACTTAAACTGTTGGATTCTGAAGATCAGGTGTTTCTACTCTACTGGAATTAGAAGTTGTAGCTCCAGGAGCATAGGGGTGAACCTGTGCTTCCTGAGTTTCTTTCTCTCCCTCTTTCACTCCTTGAAAAAAGATAAAAGTTTAACCTTGTGGTCCTGTCTATTTGTGTTTTTCTTTCTATTGTGGCACGAGAACTCACGCAACCTCAGATAACAGCACTGTTTCCTCAGCCTCTACAGTCACTGGTCCACTGCAAAGAGACCAGTACGCCTCAAGCTATCTAGGCAGGCAGTAGTCAGTGGAGCACTGTTCCTAGAGTATTCTTCACCCAAACAACGACCTTACTATCATTTCATGATACTGAATCATTTTTTTTACATGATTCTTAAATATCTCTGTTGTATTTTCTAAAAAAAGTTAAATGTAAAATGATTTCACATGTGTTTATATCAAATCCCTGTATCTAGTAGTCAGGCCATTGGATTGTCAGTAAAATTAATTTGTGTGTGTTTACCTTCAATCATGATTCTGAATTAAACACCGAGGTGATTTAGAAACCATTTATGACAGATATGTAGAATATGATTTTCTTGTTGGCTTCTGTATTAATTTACTCTTGTTATGTAATAAATTTCCATAGACTTAACAGCTGAAAACAATAAATACACTGTTATTATCTTACAGTTTTTCTGGGTCAGATTCTGGAATAGCTCAGCTGGGTTCTCTTGTCAAGATCATATCTGGTGTTGGCTGGGACTCATCAGAAGCTGAGCTGGGGAAAGATCCACTTCCAAGTTCCATGAGGTTCTTAGCAGAATTCACCTTCCTGTGGCTATAAGACTGAAGTCCCTGTTTTCTTGCTGGCTATAGCCAGGGGGTCATTGTCAGCACCTAGAAGCTGCCTACAGTTCTTTGCCCTATAGCCCTTTCCACGGGCCCTCTCATAACATGTCAGCTTAGTTCTTTAAAGTCAGCTAGAGAAAGTCTTCAAGAGGGCGTTGGGCGCTCTTTAAAAACCTTCTACTTGATTAAGTCTGATCCATCTGAGATAGCTCTTTTGAATAACTCAAAATCAGTTGATTTGGGACCTTACTTAGATTTACAAAAATCACTTTGTTTGTAACATAACCTGATTATGTGAGCAACATCACATCATCTTTGCAAATTCTGATTAGAAGCAAGATTTAAAAGTTCCCACCCATAGTCAAAAGAGGGGGTTATACATGGTGTGATTGTAAGGAGAGCCACCTAAGAGCTGTCTACCACAGCTTCCTTTTTTACTCTCCTCGCAGGGTTTTTTACTAGCTGTTGGAGACCCTCTCTCCAAAATGATTTTTAATTATGGGAAGAAAAAGAGGATCTGGAAACACCTTGAATTTGAAGAAGAAGAAGACAAACAGTTAGCAGATGCGATGGCTTCTCTGGCATATCTAGTATTTGTACAGGGTGTCAGTATCGATCAGCTTCCAATGGTTTTAAGGTAAGTGTTAATATTGGATTTATTTGTGTTTTTCTAAAAGGTGTCTCATCAGCTCCTTTATCTAGTATCCTATGTCCTATGTGTTAATTAACATGCTAAGACATTTAAAATAAAAATATTAAAGGCTATTTTTGTTAGTTCTAAATGAGAGTAGCTACTAAAGTTCTAATGACACTGGCTGTACTCTATCAAACTCTGAAAAGGTGTGTGTTGGAATAGGCAAAAGGGAATGGTGGGGACAGGACTAGTCTCTGAAGCTGTTGGGACATGCTGGACTATAATGAAGGAAACGGGTCAGATACCCATGGAGTAATCAAAATTATCATTTCCTCACTGGATTGCTGCTGTAATCCTGAATGGATCTTCATACATCCACTCTCCCTTTTAATCCAACCCATTTTCACAGACTAGAAAGTAAAAATTTTTTTAAGTAGTCTATTACATAAAGCCCTTAAGTATTCCTTGTTACTCTAAGAATAAAGTCTGAATACCTTAACATGACTTGTGAGACAAGTTTATATGTTGTATAGTCCCTATTTGATTTTCCTAATTCATGTATCACCTCTTGTTTTCTGTACTCCTGTAACACCTTTTGATGTCTTGTACAAATGTATCATGACCTTTCTGCTTTTAGAGAAAGGTATGCTTGGTGGTGATGTTAAGTGTCATCTAGTCGATTCATACACATAGCAACCCTGTATAGGGTTTCTGAGTGTGTAAATCTTTGCTGGGGCAGAAACCCTTGTCATTCTCCCATGGAGTGGCTGGTGGACTCAAACCACTCACTCCAATGCTTATTGTACAGAGCCACCATGCACCTCTTGTGTGTGCTTAGAACAATCTGTATCCTTAAACATCACTTAAGGAAAACCTCTCACAACCCAATTAAGGTTGAAGCTACCTATTATAATTACCTGAAACTGTACCTCTTTTCCTACAAAGCTTATAAACATATGTATAATTTTGGGGTCCTGGTGTAGCTCTATAGGTGAAGCACTGGACTGTTAATGGCAAGGTTGGCAGTTCAAACCCAGTAGCTGCTCCTTGAAGCCTTAAACAGAGTCAAGATAAGTCAGAACTGACTCGATAGCATTTAATAATAACAACAACATAGGTATGATTTCATAAATAACATCTTTTTTATTTTAAGGTCCATGTAGGCCTTAAGTATATTTCTCTCTTATTGTTGTGTGCCATCAAGTCGGTTCCTACTCACAGCCGCCCTTTATGGGGTTTCCAAGGAACATCTGGTTAGCATCTGCTTATTCTATTGTGCCACGCCTGGATTCCCTACTTCTCTCTGGGAGTTTGTATATTTATGTATGTATATACCTGGGGATACGAGCTCTGGTAGTGTAGTGGTTACAGTCAGGCTGCTAACCTCAAGGTCAGCAGTTTGAAACTACCAGCTGTTCCATGGGAGAAAGATGAGGCGTTCTTCTCCTGTAAAGATTTACAGCCTCAGAAACCCTGTGCAGGGTCACTGTGAGTTGGAACCAACTCCACGGTACTTAACAACAACAATAGTACCTGGGGATAAGTTTGTATGCAAATATTACAATAATGGCTACCATTGGCATGTTCGCCATGTATTAAAACATGATGCTTATAACTTTCCATGCATTTAGCATTGCATTAGCTAATCTTTGGGAACACTGTGGCTCTAGAGGATAAGCACTGGACTGTGAGCCACCAGGTCAGTGGTTTTTAACTGGTCTGTGAAAGATGAGACTTTCTCCTTCCATAGAGATTTAGAGATTTATAGCTTCAAAAACCCTATACAGGGTCATTGTGAGTCAGAACCAACTTGATGATACTTAACAGCAACAACAATATCTAATCTTTATAATAACTTTGAAATAGAGCATGATCTCATTTTACAGAAGAAAATAACAAGTTTAGACAAAGACAGGCTTAGACAAATTAAGATACTGCCCAAGATACTATATAACAACTAACAAGAGACATAAGTGGAATAGTTCTAACACTAGAGCTTAAACTAGTCATCATGACACTGCCACCAAAATGATATAACATATGTATACAATTTCTAAAAATGTATATCTGTATCTTTTTTTTCTTCCCATTTTAGTCCATTGTACCTTTTGAAATTTAATATGGGGCATGTTGAAGTCTTTTTGCAAAGGTAAGATGTTTCAAATAACATAAGAATTAAGTGCATTAAGATAGGCCTTGTCAAGATCATGGTAGACTATCTCTTTGCCAGGTCTTAATTTACTGGTTATTTTATAAAAACAGTGAGGTAATCAGAATACATACAGAAATAAATCAAAGAAAAATTTCACCAAAGACTCTTATTTTAAGCCCAAGATAATATTAAGATAATTCTCTTGGTTTTCTTGTCATCTGTTTCTGAGGTTTCTGTACTTATTTCCAAAGTTGGTAACTTGAAGCATCCCTATCTCACTGCATCCTGTTTCATCTAAGAAGAGGTGGTCAATAAGAGAAGTTCTTCCATACTTTTGCTGCATGGGCACAATCTATTAACTGTGTAAAGGAAGTAGCTAATGTTATTCAGTCACAGCATTTCTTATTTGGGTTGCTAAGAGATAAGACTTTCTCTTTTTAGATATTTACAAAGTGACAGGTATGCATAATTTTCAAGACAGAAATTTAAGCATTTTGCAAAACTCATGTTCTTTGTTTTCTTTCCTTGTTAAAACATGTTTAAATTATCTTTTGAGATCAGTCAGGCCTTGCAGTACTATCTTTTAGGAACACTAGTGACAGTTTATCAATCCCATCTCTTCCCAGGTGAAGGAAGATTTGTAACATGGCGGCCCACAAGGCAGGAATTTCCAAGGGTCTCCTGGCACAAGTAGTTATTAAGTCTGTAAATTTATGTATGTCTAAATAATTTTATAATTGTTTTTATTTAATTTCTGTTATTTATACGGTGAGTGTACCGTATCCATATTATTGTACTTGAATCTAAATTTTATGTTTCTGAGATTTCCAAAGTCATTAAGCCAAAAAAATAATAACACAACTCCTTTTATGATTAGAGTAAGAACCTGGAGGCTGAGATAATTTTTTTTCCCACCAATCTTAAGTATTTAGTTAACAGTGGTCATAAGTTTTTATAAAAAAAAGTACATAACAAATGGAAAGCATTAAAAAAAAAATAGATTATACACAAACATTTAACTGCAGTATTATAGCATTTTATGGGTAGAATTGGTTTCTTAGTATGCACTATTGAAGAACAGTTGCTTTGAAGCCAAGACGTAAGCCCCAAGTGGGCTGATTTGGATATCATTGGCCATTTAAGAGAGATGGATTAAGATTTTTTACTAAATTCTTTAACACAATTTCTTCTTAATATTTGTCAACAAGACTTCTCCTTAAGTCTATATGTATACATGTGTATGCATATGTATTTGTGTGTATATATACATATGTACACACACATGTGTGTGTATGTACATATATGTTATATATGTATACACATATATAGTAGTGGTGGTGACTGTGTGCCAGAGTCAGTTCTGACTCATAGCAACCCTGTCTAGGGTTTTCGAAGTTGTAAATCTTTACAGGAGCAGAAAGCTTCATCTTTCTCCCATGGAATAACTAGCGACCTTGCAGTTGGCAGCCCAACACATAACCTACAGTGTTACCAGGGCTCCTTAAATATATATTGTCTCTAAATTTTCATTTTTAATTTATTTTTCCTAAAATGAAGAATTGTTCTAAAACAATTTTTAAAATCATGTTGATAAACTCTTAATATTCTTTTCCAGAACAGAAGAGTCAGTTTTCTTCAAAGGATTGGTAAGGTTTGTTTGCTTCAATTATAACTTAAATATATAGTCATGTTAGCAAATACAGCTGTTGACTTCAACAAATATGTATCTCTGTATATATTTTAATTTGTAGGATCTGCTGGAGTATAGTTTATTAAGAATAGAAGACAACCACTTACTTCACCAGTACTTAGAAATCAAGTGTTTTCTTACTGTGCCTCAGGTAATTAGATGTTTATTATCTTAAAAATAGCTCCGTGCCTGTTCTGAACTTAAGTAATGTAGTCATTTTTGACCCCTCTCCCATTTCCTTTCCCATGTCCTTTCACAACTCTAGTGCAATGCTGTCCAATAGAATTTTCTGTGATAGAGGGAATGTTCCATAACCTGTGCTGTATAATAATCATAATCCACAGTGAATGCTTGCTATATGGCTAGTTTAACCAAGAACTGATTTTTAAATTTTATTTCATGTAAATTCATTAAAATTCACGTAGTTATATGTGGCTAGTGACTTTAGTAGTCAACACTGTACACAGTGTTTTCATAACCTTCTTTAACACAGTGTTGGAACTTGGAAAATGAACCTCCTCCACTTTTCTTATAACTTAAATTTTCAGGACTCAGTTTCAGGGGGTGCAGTACTGAGTCATTACTAGAAAAACTAATAAAGATTTTGTTTTTACCTCCTCAGATTTATTTTTGCTAGTAATTCTTGTTAGTTATGATATTCAAATAGGTCTTTAGATCTCAATGTAGAAACTTTTTCTACTACTTACCTAAAAAAACATGACTTCTGTTAGTGTATTAAATTTTATTATTTTTAATTTTATGAATTCTACGAATTTTATTTCATTTTTATGTACTCTAAACATTATTGAAAATTACCACTCACATTTAAATTCATATTTTGTAACACTCCACTCATCACTTACAAAATCAATTTCACGTCACTTCCCATAGATCTAATAGTAGAATGAATGTCTCAGGGAAAAATTAACTTCACTTTTAAGTTTCCTATCTTTACTTCTCCAAATTTTTATATCCATAATTGATAATATAGAAGCTTGTTTGCAATCCCCATGTGTAATCTATTAGCATCTGAATTTTAAATTGTTTTTATTTCCAGGGCTTAGTAAAAATAATGACGCTTTGCCCCATTGAGATATTGGTATGTAAATGTTTTGGAACAAAATAATGCATAACAATGAGAAATTGAATGAATAATTTAATCTTTTTTCATTTTAAACAATATTATCTGTTCTGTTTTAGAGGAAAAGGGGTCTAACTCTGCTACAGCTATATATTAATAAGTTGGATTCACAAGGCAAATATACATTATTTAGGTATGTATCAAGCATGGTTAATTGCTAAATGTGTGGTTGATTAAAAAACAAATTAATACTATGTAATTTATTCCAGGGTATATTATTTCAGTATGATTATATAATACAACTTTAACTAAAAATCTATCACCATTGAGTTGATTCTAACTCATATGACCCCATGGATATCAGAGTAGAACTATGCTCCATAGAGTTTTCAGTGACTGATTTTTCAGAAGTAGATGTCTAGGCCTTCCTTCCAAGGAAGACTCTAGGTAGAGTCAAGCTTTTGGGTAGTAGCCTAGTGAGTTAACAATTTGAATCACCCAGAGGCTCCACAATTCTACTTGGAAGCCATATTTATCTTATTTGAGCTGGGTAGAAAAGTAGTAATCGTTGTGTATGTGTCTATGTATCTAAATAAATAACAATTGTTGTTGTTATGTGCCATGGAGTTGGTTCCAACTCATAGTGACCCTGTACAGGGATTCCGAGGCTGTAAATCTTTACAGGAACAGAAAGCCTCATCTTTCTCCCGTGGAACAGCTGGTAGTTTTGAACTGCTGACCGTGAGATTAGCAGCCTGATTCGTAACCACTATGCTACCAGAGTTCCTAAATAACCATATATAATTTAATTAATTGAAATACTCTAAAATTAAAATGGACTTAAAAGAGTAAACTTAGAATGATAAGGTTCCTACTAGTATTTATACACATCAATAATTTCCACTATTCACAGTTTGAAGTAATGGCTGGAGTTACAACTTTGATGGGCTATTCATTACATGTTAATAGCAGAACTACTGATAGTGCTGTTTGAGGGAAAGAAGATTCTAGCACCTCTCTTTTTGGTGTTGGCAAATTTTCTACAAAAGGCCAAATAGGAAATATTCCTATAAACTTTATAGACCATATAGTGCCTCTGGCAACTTCTGAACTTTGTAGCAAAAGCAGGCAACAGGTTGTATTTTGCCTACAGGCCTTAATTTGTTGACCCCTGTTCTAGTAAATAAAAGTGAATTAAATAGTTAAAGTGCGTAAAGTCTACTTTGGAATGAGCCAACATTAGTACTCTTTATTCTATCTTTTCTTCATTTTTCCTGATAGTGTCAGAACAGTTGGATGAGATCACTTTTTGATGCTTAAGACATATAACAGCTTCTTGTTCTGTTCTACCTGTATCCCCACAAAAAAAATTAAATTCTTAAGCTACAACTGGTATGGCACTGTAGGATCATCACTAGACTGTGAGCCACATGGTCAGCTGTTCAAACCCACCAGCTGCTCCTTGGGAACCCTATACAGGGCTGCTATGAGTTGGAACAGACAACAACAAATCATACTGAATTACTTCGCAGTTAAACTAGTCTTACCAACACTAGTCTACTTTTATGCTATTTACTAGTGTTCATTCTTGCCATGTTAAACAGCTAAATATATTTAAAATTTTCAAATTTGATTAAATAGAAATTTCTTATTGGGAAAAAATCACAAATAGAATTTATCAGTTAGTGACAGCAATAACTATAATAGATTACTCTGTAATTAGTATCACCTTGCTAATTGTCTTTATTGTGGAGTTTGTATTCCTGAGTCCATTAGACAGAACATTTGGATTTGTAAAATTGTCATCATAATTTACTAATAATGCCATCAAGGATTATTTCAAGTGTATTTTAATTTTGCCTTCAAGGTGCTTATTGAATACAAGTAACCATTCAGGAGTAGAAGCCTTTATTATTCAAAATATAAAAAATCAAATTGATGTATCATTAAAGGTAAGAAAAACATGCCAAAGTATCATTTATGAAATTGATATATTTATCTACTTGTGGATACATTATTATTGTCCTACAAACCTTTTCTATTTTGTTAACTATAAATCTAGATTATGTTACTTCCTTGAGCTGGTAATCTGATTTCTTTGTGGTTTCTAAACACTATCTAATCTATATGTGAATAATCAGTAACTCCACATAGAAAACAGAGAGCACCCGTGCTCCAAACTGGCAGGGGTTCGTTCCAGGTATTTATAAGCAGTGAATGAGAGAATGGAAATTAAAGTTAAAAAAATAATAATGTATAGTAGTTTATTTTTGTAGCAGCAAAGTATTAGAAGAACACATGAATTTGTCAGGCTCTTCTATAAAACCTTTCCTAATTTTTCTTTTGCTTTTCAGAGATCACATAACAACAAATGGTTTACAGGACCACAGCTGATGCCCCTTCTAGATTTGGTACTCTCTCTCCCAGAGGGTGCTGAAACAGACCTACTGCAAAACTCAGATAGGTGAGGTGGCCATTACCACAGTTCAAAGCATACATTTAGAAAAGAAAGAAAAATCCCTATTTAGGAACCCTAAACAAAAAAAAAAAAAAAAAAGTGATTTTCTGTGATGTTCTATTCTATGCATAATTTCTAAAATTATATAAAGATTTTCATATTTAAGCAATTAAATAATAAGTAAAAACAAACTTGAAAATATTACTTTTTACACTTCAGTGACCAACAATATGATTTGGTACCTTTGGCATACCCAGGATCCATTACAGTGTGTAGAAATTTATATCTAAGCATTTGTAATTAAAAACTAAGAATCTTGATTTATTTTGTTTTCCAGGGCATTTTCCCCCTCTCATATAAAAAACAAAATACCAAACCCATTGGCCATCAAATCAGTTCTGACTCATAGCAACCCCTATTTAGGGTTCCTAAGACTGTAAATCTTTACAGGAGCAGAAAGTCTCATCTTTCTCATGCGGAATGGCTGGTGGTTTGAACCTTGTGGTTAGCAGTCCGGTGCTTATCTTACAGCACCACCAGGGCATGAAGTTTTTTTCAGTATACTAAACTAGATGTTGAAGGAGCTCTGGTAGTGTAGTGTTTAAGAGTTGGGCTGCTAACCTCAAGGTCAACAGTTCAAAACTGTTCTGCAGGAGAAATATGAGGCTTTCTGCTCCTGGGAAACCCTGGACAGGATTGCTATGAGTCAGAACCAACTCCACAGCACATAACCACCACCAAAATAAATGGTGAGGAAATGTTTGTAAACACTGACATAAGGAAGTTTAAAATTCAGAAATCAAGAGATGATGCCCTGAAATATTAAAGATAACAAGGGTCTGTTGGGGAGAAAAAAAGACCTTTTTCACAATTATATTTTGTGAACTTTTTAAATGGAGAAGAAAAGTAGTAAGTTATTACTGTTCCAAAAGAGCTGTTGAGGAAAATAATTTCTAATAGCTAATAACATAATTCCACAAATATACACCCAAGGTTGTAGCTTATTCATTGAAATTGCTATTGATTGTGTAGTACTGTACTTACTGTATGATACAAATTATATATTTTTAACAGGATTATGGCTTCATTAAATTTATTGAGATATTTGATTATCAAAGACAATGAAAATGACAATCAAGTAAGTAAATTATTTGAAAAAGAAACTGTGAGTATATTAAAAATGCATAGGAAATGTTACAAATTTTCTGTTTAGGCCAATATTTCATATTTTACCCTGTTACTCAACAGCACTTAACAACAACAAAGAAAAGTGCCACTGAAATCTGAAGTTAATTCCAGGAACTCTGACCACCACTTCCAGCTTCCCTTTCCCTTTCCTATGGTAGCCACTCCTCACTTTTGACTATTGCTTAGCCCTGTTGGAGCAGATAAGTTGTATATCCCAAGTGAAATAACCTTTTATTGCTCAATGTACATTGGTGTATATCCCAAGGTAATCTTTTGGAGCTCAATGTATATTTGGGTGTATTGTTCAGTTGGCTTTACCTGTCACTCATAATTGAAGTCTGAGACCTCCATATAATATAAATTCATTTAATATTTTCATATCGCTTCATGAGACATGGCAGATTAACGCATTTCAGCACTAAAACTGAATTTGTTAATAGCACCTTTCACATAATGTGTAGGAAGTTGGATTTTTTAAATAGCACATCATTAGAGGTACTCAATAAATAGAAAACTATTTGAAGGAGATTTGTCATACAGTAAAATTATATTTAGTTTTTATCTTCTCTCTTCCTACCTACCTTATTGTAATAGTCGCTGTCCCTATATGTGTCACCTCTATTAAGTAAATGAATCACAATGTGTTAATTTTTTTTTTTTTTTAGAAAGGAATGAAAGTAATTTTTATACCAAGACGTCAGTGAACTTTTTTTGTTAAATCTAAGTGAAAAATAGCAGTTTCATTTTCTTGACCGAGTTAGTAGATTGAGTGATTTGACCTGCTGTACATCCCTCTGCTGGCATTGACTAGAGTTGTCTCTGAGCTAGGTGCTGGTTTTTCTCTCACATTTTACTGTAAAAATTCAGTGTACATCAAAGTTGAAAGAATTTTACAGTGACCTATTTTTCTACTACCTAAATTCTACCATTAATATTTTACTCAACTTGCTTTATCACATATGCATTTCTCTACCATCTATCTATACATCTATCAAAAAAAATTTTTTAATGTACTTCCAAGTACACTGCAGCTATCAGTATACCAATAGTTGCTATGGAGTTAATTCCAACTTATGGCAACCTGTTGTGTGTCAGAATGGAACTGTGCTCCATAGGGTTTTGTTTTTTTTTTTAATGTTTTATTGTGAATTATGTGACAGTTTACATGGAGAACATTAGCTTTACATTCATCCTATCATATATCGTTTCATTGCCAAGATTACAATTCCCTCCATGTGTCATCAACCAACCAAAGGGTATACACTACAAGCCTGCCCCCCGGTTGTCAGAACATAGCCCTTCTCCCTCTCTGGGTCTAAAGTCCCCAACTGCTCCATCTCTTCATGTCATCATCTCTGCCTCTATCTCAGGGTAGTGTCCTGCTCTCCGCTCTTCTCCCTTGATGGTCCCAGGGACTTCCGCTCCTAGACTGAAAAGTTAATCACTCCCCTCCTTGCTACAAAATGTCTACCTTTACATTTCCAACCCTCACAGTCAGTCCTGATAACAATTATTCACTATTGTATCACAAGAGCCCCGCCTAGACAGATTGGATACTACTCAGTGGGGATTCTACCTTCCTCCATGCCCTCGCTCCATAGGGTTTTGTGTTGTTGAAAATATGCACAGCAAAGCATACACAAATTTAACAATTTATACATGTTTATCTCAGTGTTGTGCATAGGGTCGCTATGAGTCAGTACTGACTCGATGGCACCTAACAACATCATCTCAGTGACATTCAATACATTCTTTGTGTTGCACAACCATTCTCGCCTGACATTTCTGAATTGTTCCTCCCACTAAACTTCTTATATTCCAGGTTGCTGTTGTCAATGTGATCCCATGTAGATTGTTCTTAATAAGAGCACAATTCTCAAGGCAGATATTCTTTAATAACTAAACTAAACTATTATTATTAGGTTTAGGAACTCTGGTAGTGTAGTAGTTATGAATTGGGCTGCGAACTGCAAGGCCAGCTTTTTAAAACTACCAGCTGTTCCATGGAAAAAAGATGAGGCTTTCTGTTCCCGTAAAGATTTTCTGCCTCAGAAATCCTGTATGGGGTCACTATGAGTTGGAACTGACTCCATGGCACATAACCATTATTAGGTTTCAAGAAAACTTTTTTTTCTACGTATTTTTTATGTAATGTTATCTCAAGGCAGTAGTTTCAGGTTCATCCAACCTCAGTGTCTCCAGGAAGTCTAGATTACATGAGACATGATTGAAATTCTGTTTTGAAATTTTCACCCTTATGATCAGGATTCTTCTATAGAATCTTTGATGAAAACCTTCAATAATGGTAGTTGTTGTTGTTATGTGCTGTGGAGTCGGTTCCGACCCATAGTGACCCTGTACAGGGTTTCCGAGGCTGTAAATCTTTATGGGAGCAGAAAGCCTCACCTTTCTCCCGCGGAACAGCAGGTAGTTTTGAACCAGGCACTATCTGGTCTCATGGCAAAAGAGGCAGTTGCTCAGGGAGGTAATTAGCCATGCATTCCATTTCCTTCTATGCCTGATTCTTCTTTCCTTTGTTGCTCCAATTGAATAGAGAGACCAATTATTGTACTTTGGATGGCTGCTTGCATGCTTTTAAGACTCCAGGCATTATACAACAACATTAAATGCAATATTAAAAATGCTATTAGGCCAATTAACTGGAATTTTCATTGAAACCATGACCCCAAACCTCCAAACCAAGAATCCAGATTCCATGAGGTGTTTGGTTATACATAAACAGCCTCAGCCAACTGCTCAATTTTTTTTGGTAAAAATATTTATCATACAACATTTGGAAATTTAAAAGTGTAAACTTTTACACAGAGTCCTGATGTGGTGTGGTATAGGGTAAGCACTGGACTGTTAACCACAGGTCAGTGGTTCAAACCCATCAGCTGCTCCTTAGAAACCCTATACAGGTTTGCTATGAAATTCAACCCATGTGACTGCACGTAACAACAACTTACTAACATCAGTCACATTAATCATCTATGCAACCATTACTCAACCACTGAAAATTTTCCATCACCATAAACAGAACCTCAGCACTCCATAATAATCCCACTCCATAGGGTTTTCAATGGCTGATTTTTGGAAGTACATCACTTGGCCTTTCTTCCAAGGTACTTCTGTGTAGACTGCCAACCCTTTGGTTCCCAGTTTAGCACAGTAATCATTTGCACCACCCAGGAACTGCACAGATATCCGTATACTAAGTAGAGTTCAATATTTGTTTACAGTTTTTTTTTTTTAAGGTAACATTTACATATAATGAAATATACTTAGTGTATGTTCTCTGTTTTAACAAATGTATTGTGTAATCTCTGCTATAATGTCTACAGATCATGTCTCCATTTTACTTGGTTTGAACATTTTGCAGGAAAGGATAAAAGATACGATCAGCATATAGGATTACTTTCTTTTACTTAATGATATTCTTGAACATCAGAGATCAGCCATTTACACACCACCTAGATTCTACCATTAACATTTTACTCTGTTTGCATTTTTACCAACACAGTTGATCATGTGTATGAATGAGAGGCAAAGCTGTGCACTAGTTTATCAAAAATGACAGCTTTTAAGACTTTAGAAATTTTTGCTGTCATTTAGGAAATAAAATGATTCTCTGCTGATGCTGAGCTGTGGGGGCTTTTATTCCAAAGGCTCCTACTGGTACCTATTTTGGGCCAATTAGTGTGATGACAAGATAACTAGTCAGATGAAAGCTGAAAAGCAGAAAGATGTAAGAACAGAATTGTTCAAATATGAAACCAACAAATGATTTAATAATCATTTCTTTTCCTGCTATTTTGAGTTATTGTTAACTTACTTTTCATGTCATTCTTCTCTTTATCTTACTATCTCATGTTTCATTTCTTTGCCTACATTATAAACTGTTACCTTTTCACACATTTCAGTTGTACAGAATTTTTTACTTTGATAATATAAACTATGCCCCTGTCTCTACTGATAAAACCAACTTAGTGTTCAAATTCTGATATTCTGTACTATTTGAAGGATCACTTTAGGTAAATTATTAGTTTTTTGTAATTGCCTTTTTTTTTTTTAATACTCAGCCTGTAAGTCATTTTACCTCGTACTTTCTGTTTTAACCCCTCATACCTTTTCCTGTCCACTTCCATACCCATTCTTTTTTTAAATAATTTGTGATTGAACTATGTAGACTAAAATTAGGGTCAAGGAAAATAATGTAAGATTTCAAAGATCACAGGAATCACACAAAATATTAGGAATTTTACAAAATGAATTGTGTAAATATATGCATTGATAGCTTTTGATGTGGATTGCACCTCAGTGTAAAAAAAAAAAAATCCTTACAACTGGACCAAAAAATAACATCATAGAAGCAGCGGTCAAAATATCAAAGGATATAATCTGCATTAATCAAATGCTACACAAGACCTGTTTAAAACCATCAGTTCAAAGATCAAGGTTTAAAGGGATGCACAAGGTAGAATCATTGTGGGTGTGGGATAATTTATAGGGGAAGAGAAATTTCTCAGACTGGATTATCCTCAAACAAATAACTTTCTAAAATCTTTTAAATTATTAATCTCATAATCAGGAACTATCCAAATGGTACATGAGTTGTAATGCTCTGAGTACATTTTGTTTTGCTCAGAATAGATGTAGTAGTCACTGTATTGTTGTTAAGTGCCGTCAAGTCGATTCCGACCGACAGCAACCTTGTATAGGATTTCCAAGGAGCAGCTGGTGAGCTTGAACAGCCGACCTTGTAGTTCAAACGGCTTTGCAGTCTGGCGCATTAACCCACAGAGCCACACTAGGACTCCAGGTCATTGTATTATGAAACGGTTCATTCTGCCCAATTAGAGAGTAAGGTCTTTGAAAGGCAAGGGGCATGTTTTACTCATTTGTTTCTCTAGCTCTCAACATGTTTAATAGTAGTAGGTAATGCATGTTGAACTAAATAACTAATTCTTTTATTAATTTTTCTGAACAGACTGGATTATGGACAGAACTCAGAAGGATTGAGAATAATTTCTTAAAACCACTCCATATAGGACTGAATATGTCAAAAGCACATTATGAAGCAGAAATAAAAAATAACCAAGAAAATAGCCACGGTTAGTCATGTGCCATTTCATTTTTAGTTAGGTTTAAAAATTGGCCACATTTTGGGATTGTTACCTTTATAGTCAAAATAAAGAGTCTTTTTTTTCTTTTCATCTTGTTTAATTTATACTTAACGGGGGAAATGTCAGCCAGATCACTTTTTATGTAATTAAAATGATTCTTAGCAGCTCCATAAACCAGTTAACTCTGAGCTTGGTTAACAAAGACTTGTATCAAAGCATATTTTGGTTTAAGCCTCAAGTTCTTGATTAATGGCATCAGTACATTATAAGTATTTCTTTTTGCTGGATTTACTCCTACCTTATTCCCGAGTAAATCTGTAGAAATTATGAAAAAGAAATTTAAGTCAACAATTCTATGTTTTTTTGAGATCACTTCCATGTAGATATGATATTTCTAAAGTTATTACTAGAAATTTTATCTTTAGTGTATTGGGTATAAATATGATTATGTATTGATGAAACAAGTTTGTAAACTTTAATTTTCTTCTGCATGCTAATATAGTGCTACTCACTTAAAGAAGCAGTAAATTTATGTTATAAAACATAATTTTAATAATTTTATTTGCTTTATGTTAAGCATTCTTTGAGCTTTCAAGCAGTAAAACTTATTTACATAAACAATTGCCATTTTTTTTTAATTGATGAATGATGAAAACAGCTTATAAATTTATTCTCGAACTCTGACAATTAAGTCGATGTGACACATACTTGTTTTTTCCCTTTTCTTAACAGAGGTCCGGAAATCTAAAGATATCTGTTCTATAACTGTATGTGGAGAAGAGATCCCTAATATGCCTCCTGAAATGCAGCTTAAGGTGAACTGAAGTTTTCCTGAGCTTTTCAAGTTTACATCTAGCTGAAGTCTTTTCTCTGTTTTGCTTTGTTTGGTTTTACAGGCAACATTAATTAATACTACTGATTTTTCTTGACATTGTAGGTCCTACATTCAGCTCTCTTCACATTTGATTTGATTGAAAGTGTTCTGGCTCGAGTAGAAGAACTCATTGAAATAAAAACAAAGTCTACCTCTGAAGAAACTGTTGGAATAAAGTGAATATTCTACTTCCTAAATAAAAATTAGTAAACTGTTTTCTATTATGACTTATTTAATACTTTCATAAAAATTTTTCTGTAAAAGTTATTGCTAGACTGTAGTTTTTCTTATTTATCAATTTGTTTAATAACACATGGATCAGTAGTAGCCTTTGGTTTTAAAAAGTAATCTACATTGTAAATAATTCTGTATGTATTTTAAGTATGACTTTAAAAAATCCATACAAACAATTTCATAAAATGTAGTTTAATTGCTTTCATTCATGCAGATGTAGTGTGTTTATAAAAATGCGGATATAGTTTCTGCTCCAACTAGATGCCATGTTAGGTTTTAGAACATCCCATCAAATTGGATATCACACCACTGAAAGAGTGTAGACAGAAGAATATGTTAAGTTCAGGCCAGCTGACTTTCTCTGAGCTTCTTTCTCCTTTCCTACCTCAAGAGGAGTCTGAAGGAATAAGGTCCCATCACTCTCTCTCCAACAGAAGTTATATTGTGGAAGCATTTGCAAAGATTAGCATTAGAAATAAATGCTGTTCCTGTGGAAAACTTTTTTTTGTAAAGTCTTTTCCTTTTAGTCTGAGGGGCTAATTAGAAAATTTTGTTATTTTTATTTTCCAGTAAATATCTGTCCCCCCAGTTTACTTTGTTACTTTGTATCATTAAGAATCTCCATGTGGAGATTGTAATCATTACAATGAAACAAAGTGTAAAACCAATGTTCTCCCATATAAACTATCACTCAATTCACAATAAAAACTTTTTTAAAAGGGGGGGAGGTGGTAGAGTACTTAAATACTGGTAAATTAATAGTAAGTACATGGAGGAGTTTGTAATAATTGCAATGAAACAAAATATGATTTGTTGAATGTAAAACTAATGATTTGCCATGGAAACTTTCAATCAATTAAAAAATAAAAAGGAATCTCCACCTGGGTTTTATAATGTATGTATGTACCAAGTTTTTCTTAACATTATTAGAGGAATTATGCATAAAACTCCTTAAAATAACTTTGGATTACATACATTTTATTTCAACAAGTCTAATTATTTTCATGTTCTTCCAAAAGAGCATTTATAATTGGTATTCTGATTTGAATTAATCACTACTCAGTGTTATCTTTTGAAGTGTTTTCCAAACAGGACTTTGCTCAATGACGTAAGCTTTAGCTGTTATCATTCTGTAGCAGATGCTACCTATGTATGGTTTGGAGGTAGTCTGGAAGAAGATATAAATATTAAACATTATTAATAAAAATCAGTAAGGTATTTTTATAGAGTCACATAAAAAATACTTTCAGCTTATTCAACAAATATCTCTTGATCACTTTCTACGTGCCAAATCCTATACAATGTGTTAGAATTATATAGAGGAAATCACCTGATGGTATTCTCAAGGAATTCTACACTTGCAGACAAAATTAGGATGCCATAAAAACTACTTTAATGGAGATGTGTTCCATTGTAAGCTCCCAGTGTAAAACTAAAGAATACTTAACACTGCCTGGGAGTCTGGGTACGGTGCTATAGGGGAAGTGCTAACTAACTGCAAGGTTGGTGGTTCAAACCTATCAGCCACTCCTTAGAGACCCTCTACAGCAGGGGTGAAGAATTGGTGGCCTGCGAGCCATATGAGGCCTGTGAAATCATTTGGTCAGGCCCTGCCAAGACAATTGCAGTTGCAGCCATCACGTTGTTGTGAAGTGCCATCGAGTTGATTCTAATCCATTAGGGGTAAGTTAATTAAATGACTGACCAAATATACCAGGCTAATTTTTAATTTTATAATTTGTATGGCCTGCAAAGGATGCTACAAATTTTGGCACAAAAAAGGTTCCCTGCTCCTGCTATAAAAGGTCACTATGAGTTGGAACCGACTTACTGGTACTTAACAACTTTGCCTTGGGGCTGGGATGCTCGACATACTCAGAGGAAGGAAAGCTTGAAAGCAAAGTGGACAGCTGGTGAAGAATATTCCATAAAGTAGTATGTTTGCACTCTGATAGTTCATGACCAATATTTATCGTTTAGAATTTGAAGGAAAATTTAAATTGATATGGCCAACACAATGTGGTAGTGATGATGGTTATGTGCTATGGAGTCAGTTCTGACTTTGCATAGGGTTTCCAAGCCTGTAAATTTTTATGGGAACAGAAAGCCTCATCTTTCTCCCATGGAACAGCTGGTAGTTTCGAACTGCTGACCTTGAGGTTAGCAGCCCAACTCATAACCACTATGCTATCAGAGCTCCTTAACACAAAAGTATGTATGGTCAAAAAGTCTTTTGATCCATAACGAGTCATGCAAAGACAGTGATACTTGAAGTCAGTGACTGCAACAATGGGCTGAAATGTGGCAGTGGTTTTAAGGATGGCACAGGACTGGACAATATTTTGTTTTGTTGAACATGGGTCTATGTGGGTCAGAGCTGACTTGATGGCACCTAAAAACAACCTGAAGTAAGAATATATGAGTGACTGAATCCAGGCTAGGGAAAGAGTTGCAATGCAGAAATACCAAATTCTAAATAGAAGCACGGATATTTATCAACCCTGCTCAAACAGGTGTGCAACACAAAATCAAAAATCTGTTTGAAGTCTATGAGTGTGCCATGTTTTTCAGGTGACTCACCTTCGCTATGGTGCACATAAGATTGATAGCGTTTACTGTGTTGTGTACCGGAAGTATTCTTAAATTATTGCCCAGAAATCTGAAAAACAGTTTATAGGTTATGTACATCATCTCACTTTAACATCTGTGTTCTTAGTTACTTACATAGGTGGAAACAAGACAAAAATCTCTATTCGTTACTTGTATATTCTTTCATGCCCTACCTTAGTCCACAGAGGATTTGAGGTAGCACTATAGCAAATACTTAACTAAGAAGTGTTCTATCTTACGTAGGTCTTTCAGAATTCCATAAATCATCATGAACTCTAAAAGTTGTCACACTATTCATAAAATGGCCTGTGCTCCATTAAATATAACAGGGTATTATTATGTTTACTTCTTAGCAAAATGAAACCTACCTGCCCAAAATAATTACGAACTGCAGTAAGCAATATAATTTCAGAAATATACGTCTGAAGTGATAATCTTCCATACCTTTGTTGAATTCTGAACATCAGTTTCCACTCCTCAGGCCCATGGAGGGCAGCAGATAGAACCAAAAAACTATTTTGGTGAATGTTTATAAACTTCACAATTTTGGCTATAAATACTTCTTCAGATGACATAAGGCATTCTTTAGCATCCATCAATAAAAATGCAACTCCTAGGGAAGTTGAACATAATATTTGTGACAAAATATCACTGTCATATACATCAAATTTTGTAAACCTCAGCAAAATAAAAAATTCCATTACATAAAAGGTGTCTAGGCCCTTAACTACCACCTGGAAACCCAAACACATTGCTGTCTTTTTTGTATCAACTCATAGTGACCCTATATGCAGAGTACAACTGCCCCATAGGGCTTCCAAGGTTGTAATCTTTAAAGACTCCTGGTGTGCTACTGTAGAATCAGCACTAGATTGCAAACCATGAGGTCAGCAGTTCAAACTCATAAGCTGCTCCTTGGAAACCCTACACAGGATCTCTATGAGTTGGAATTAACTCACTTCACAACAGCAAATACCTTTATGGAAGCAGACTGTTGCACCTTTTTCCCAGGTTGCTGGGTTCAAACACAGGCTTTTTTGGTTAGCAGCCAGGTGCTTAATCACGCACTAATAGGGCTCCTTAAACAATATCTGTTGTTGTTGTTACATGCTGGCTACTGGGTTTGGACTCATAGCAACTCTGCATAGGGTTTCCAAGGAGTGAATGGTGAGTTTGAACCACCACCCTTGCAGTTCAAACCCACCTTGTGGTCGAAGGCTTATCCTATGGCACCGTACCAGGATTCCTAAACAATCCATAGAGTTGTTGTTGTTGTTGTTGTTAGGTGTCATTGAGTCGGTACCGACCCATAGCAACCTTATGCACAGCAGAACGAAACACTGCCCAAACCTGGGCCAACCTCACTACTGTTGTCAGGCTTGAGTCCATCAATGCTGCCACTTGGCCAATGCATCTCGTTGGGGGTCTTCCTCTTTTTCTTTGACCCTCCACCTTACCAAACATGATATCCTTCTCCAGTGACTGGTCCCTCCTGACAATATATCCGAAGTATGAGAGACAAAGTTTGACCACCTTGGCCTCCAAAGAGCACTCTGGCTGCACTTCTTCCAAAACGGATCTATTGGTTCTTTTGGCAGCCCATGGCACTTTTAATATTCTCCAACACCATGACTCAAAAGCATCAATTCTTCTATGGTCTTCCTTATTCACTGTCCAGCTTTCTCATTCAGATGAGGTAATTGAAAATACCATGGCTTGGGTCAGGTGCACCTTAGTCCTCAAGCTCACATCTTTGATCTTCAACACTTTAAAAAGGTCTTGTGCAGCAGATTTGCCTAATGCAATATGTCATTTGATTTCTTGACTGCTGCTTCCATGAGTGTTGATAGTTGATCCAAGAAGAATGAAGTCCTTGACAACTTCATCTTTTCTCCATTGATAAGAATGTTGTTTATTGGTCCAGTGGTGAGGATTTTTGTTTTCTTTACATTGAAACGTAAACCATACTGAAAACTGTGCTCTTTGATCTTCATCAATAAATGTTTTAAGTCCTCTTCACTTTCAGCAAGCAAGGTTGTATCATCTGCATATCGCAGGTTGTTAATGAGTCTTCCTTCAATCCTAATGCCACATTTTTCTTCATAGAACCCAACTTCTCAGATTATTTGCTCAGCTTACAGGTTGAATAAATATGGTGAAAGAATACAACCTTGTCACACACCTTTTTTAATTTTAAACCATTCAGTATTCCCTTGTTCTGTTCGAACAACTGCATAGTAAACCATATGGTTGTCAGATTCAAAATGGCCAACACCAGTCCATTTCAGCTCACTAATGACTAAGATATCAATATTTATGCGTTCCATTTCATTTTTGACAACTTCCAAATTTCCCAGATTCATACTTCATACATTCCATGTTCTGATTTTCAGTGGATGTTAACAGCTGTTTCTCTTCATTTTGAGTTGTGCCACATCAGTAAATGAAGGTCCCGCAGGCTTTTCTCCCACGGGCTTTACTCCATTCGCGTCATCATGGTCAACTCTACTTTGAGAAGGCAGCTCTTCCTCAGTCGCCTTTTGAGTGCCTTCCAACCTGAGGGGCTCGTTTTCCGGCACTATATCTGACAGTGTTTCTCTGCTATTCATAAGGTTTTCAGTGACTAAATATTCGGAAGTAGTTCGTCACTCCTTCTTCCTAGTCTGTCTTCTTCTGGAAACTCATCTGAAACCTGTCCTCCATGGGTGAGGATTTATTTTAAAATAAATCGAGAATGGTAGTCAAACAAGCCTTCAGCTATTCCTTGTTGGAGAAATCTTTCTACCAAAATGTAAACTATTATATAAAATATTCTGAACAGATTTCTGGGATCTCAAACACTAAAAGTCCTATTAGGATGGCTTAGATTTTATATAGGGATTTTGTCTATAACTCTTTAAGGGGAGCATGGTATCTCCTAAGCTCGGGACTTCGAACCACAAGGTTTGAGCACACCAGTCGTTCCACAGGAGAAAGATAAGGCTTTCTGCGCCTTCATAGATTTCCAGCCTCAGAAACCCTCTACATGCTCCTTAATGAGTTGAAACCTGTGAGACAGAGCTGATGCGATGGCACTTTAACAACGTAGCTCCTTAAAAGATGCAGGGAAGATATAATCTGAAGAAAGCAAATATTAACTATTAGTTGAGTGAATTTGAGCAATTTATATAACCTCTCTGAACCTAAGTTTTCTTACCTATAATATGGCAATAAGAATTGGTAGGTTTGTTAGAAACATTAAATAAGGATAATATATATAAACTGACCAAAAGACCTAGGTTTATAAGTTCGTTGCTGAATTACAAAATTGCTAGAATTTATAACCACATATTTTATTAGGAAACTAAATAAAAAATAGCAAATTATACTGTACCAGATAGAGAAAATATAATTGCTCCATTTTCCACTGATTTGGAATACCGGACCTTGTGGTTTTGGTTTTCCAGGGTAGTTGCAATTTCACTGCTCTTTAAAAACATTTTCAGAAATACAAATTTTAAACATGCTTTTAAAAATTTTTATTAATAAATGGTATGTAAAAAAAAAGCTTCTCTTATAACTATAATCACTTTAAAGATTTGATCATCAAAAAAAAAAAGAAAGAAAGAAACTCAGCCCACTCCTTATGAAGAAACAAAGTGTTTTTTAAAGAAGAGCAAAAATAATTTTGTTCTACTGAAACATTCATCGTACATTCAGAAATGAGTTGTGTAGTATTTATGTTATTGAGAGACAGAAATTAAGAGTATTAAAGAACTAAGAAATCCTAGAGGAACTCTGGGTTAGACAATGAAATGTTAACCTCAAGGTTGGCAGTTCAAGCCCACCAGCTCTCCACAGGAGACAGAATGAGGCTTTGTGCTCCTGTAAAGATTTACAGCCTTGGGAACCCTATATAGGGCACTGTGAGTCAGAATCAACTCAATGGTAGTGAGTTTGGGTGTGGGTTATTTGACAGTAATCAAGAACCAGAGCAAATGCAAACTTCTTCTTAAAGAACAACTTTGATTTGGAAATAGATTTAGTGATGGTTATACAAAATTGTGCATGTAATTAATGCCACTGAAATGTATACCTAAAAATGATTAAAATAGCAAATTTCATATGTATTTTACTAACTTAAGAAAAGTGTAATTGAGAAAGTGATACCATTTACTATAGCCACCCAAAGGATGAACTATTTAGGAATAAATCTAACCAGTGAAACAAAAGACCTATGCAAAGAAAATTACAAAACACTAATATAAGAAACCAAAAAAGATTTACAAAAATGGAAGACTGACTATATACCACACTCATGGATAGGAAGACTTAACATTGTGAAAATGTCAATACTACCCAAAGCAATATATAGCTATAACACAATCCCAGTCTAGATTCCAGCAACATTCTTTAAAGAGATGGAAAAAAATATCACAAACTTTATATGGAAGAGAAAGAGGCCTCAGATAAGTAAAGCACTGCTTAAGAAAAATAAAGTTGGAGGCCTCTAATTTCAAATTTTACTATGCAGCCACAGTGTTCAACAAAGTCTGGTATTGGTACAATGAAAAATATATACATAGATCAATGGAACAGAATTGAGAACCCAGAAGTAAATTCATCCACATACAGACAACTGATCTTTGACAAATATGGAAGAGATAGTCTCTTTAACAACTGGTGCAGGCAAAATTGGAAATTGATTTTCAAAAGAATGAAACAAGACCCATATCTCTCACCATATTAAAAAACTAGCTCAACATGGATTAAAGACCTAATTGTAAATTCCAGAACTATAAAGATCATCAATGGAAAAACAAGAACAAACTTAAGGGCCCTAATACATAGCATACAGAGACTATCAAACATGCAAAAAAACATATAAAAAGATAAGACAAAATAGATGACTGGAACATACTAAAAATTAGAAACTTATGTGCATCAAAAGATTTCACCAAAAGTATAAAAAAGGAAGCCCACAGACTGGGAAATTTTTTGCAATGACATCAGACAAGGGACTCATCTCTAAAATGTATAGGAAATTACAACGCATCTACAAGAAAAACTAACCCAATTTAAAAATGGGCAAAGGACATGAACAGACACTTAGACATTCAGACATCCAACAAACAGGAAGAAATGTTCACAATCATTAGCCATTGTTGTTTTTAAGTGCCGTCAAGTCAGTTCAACTGATAGCGATCCTACATAGAATTTCCAAAGAGCAGCTAGTGAGTTTGAACTGCCAACCTTGTGGTTCAAACTGACTTTGCAGTCCACTGCATTAACCCACAGCACCACACCAGGACTCCCATTAGCCATTTGTTGTTGTTAAATGCCATCGAGTCAGTTCCGACCCATAGTGAACCTGCATAGGGTTTCCAAGGAGCAGCTGGTGAGTTGGAACAGCCAACCTTGTGGTTCAAATGGCATTATCCCACGGCGCCACACCAGAACTCCCATTAGCCATTAGAGAGAAGCAAATCAAAACAACAATGAGATAACATTTCACACCACCAGTAACAGTGAAGTTCAAAAATACAGAGGACAGATGCTGATGAAGGTATGGAGACTGGGGCACTCCTACATTGCTGGTGGGAATGTAAAATGGTCCAACCACTCTGTAAAATGGCACGGCACTTTCTCAGAAAGTTGGAAACAGAAATACCTTATGATCCAGCAATTCTTCTTCTTGGTATATATCCACAGGAAATACAAGTCAGAACACAAGTAGATATGTGCACACCAATGTTCATCACAGCACAATGTATTCACAATAGTAAAAAAAATGGAGAGAGACTAAGTGCCCATCAATAGAAGAATGGATAAACAAACTTTGGTACATATACACAATGGAATATTACGCTACCTTGAAGAATAACGATGAAGCTGCAAAACACTTCACAAAATGGCTAAACATGGAGGACATTATGCTGAGTGAAATTAGTCACAACAGGACAAATATTGCATATGACCATTATTCTAAAAGTTAAAGAAAAGTTTTCCAATCTAAAGAAAAATTATTTGATGGTTACCAGATGTGGGAAGGAAGGGGTCAGTAATCCATAAGTTAGGGGTGAGACACATGATAGCTCAAATGACAGGGAGGGCAGTATACAAGGGGGAAGGCAATACATAAGACAATTTAAACACTGGCTATCAAAAAAGGGGAGGGATGCCATAAAGGTATGAAGTGGCTGGCTTACAAGCTTTCATAAGGGTGCTTCATTTCAGATCGAGGAGGGAGTAAGTTAGAATCTACTAAATAATTTCCCTCTTTTCCAGATAGGTCTGGTGAAAGGAGATAGGGGAGGATGGGGATAGGATTTTATGATTCAATTGTTATCAAGACTAATTCTGATGGTCACAACTGTAAATGTAGAAGATGTGTAACTAAAAGTGGTGAGTAGTTACTCTTCCATTTCAAGAACAGTGGACCCTAGGACCAGCAAGAGGGAAGAGCAGGAGTGGAGCAAGATCCTAATCAGAAAAGTAGCAACAGCAGAGACAGTGGCAGAGGAGATGGCATAGAGAGATGAGTAGCTGAGAACTCTAGGCCCATGGACTGAGAAAAACTGTGCCTGTGGGCAAGAGGCTGGCTTGTTAAGTGTGACCTTTGGACATTTAAATGAATATGTATTTTCTGTTTTGTATGTGTACATCAAAAAGGAAAAAAAGGAGGGAATACAGGTAAATACTGTTGACTGATGGTACATGGAGGGGATTGTAATCATTGCAATAAAACAAAAGATGATTTATTAAGTGTAAAACTGATTATCTGCCCAGTAAACTTACACTCAGTCACAATAAAAGCTTTAAAATATAAAAATAATATATGAGCAATACAAATATTTTGAAAGAAAATAAAAATCAATGAAGCAAAAGGCATACATACATAATTTCAGTTACCCAGGAATAATCTCAAAAAACATTTGTTAAAAAAAAATTTTTTTAAGTTTTTATTGCAAATTGAGTTAAAGTTTATAGGGCAGATCATCCTTTTTACATTCAACAAATCATACACCTTGTTTCATTACAATGATTATAATCCCCTCCATGTACCATCAGATGACAGTATTTTTCTCTATTCACTTTAGCTCTTTTTTTTTTAAACACTCAGGCATATATAATAATTTACAACACCAAAGGGCACATTCTGAATGTGTGCCTCTTGGCGGCCAGCTCTTAAACCCTCTCTTCCCTCTTAAACTCTCTCTTCTGGAGTCCTCATCTGTTCCCTCTCTCCATGTCCCCATATCTGCCTCCATCTTTGGTGTCTCTGCTTCTCTGGATAAGGTCCCCAATTCTGTTTGTGCTCTTCTTCTCCCTTGATGGTCCTAGGGTCCTTTGTTTCTGGACTGTTTTGGTTACAAAACTTCTACCTTTACAATTGTGACAGTCACAATTAGTCATGATAACTATTACTCATTATTGAATTATAAGAATCTTATCTCCATGCTTTTTTTTTTTTTTTAAGCTTTTATTGTGAATTGAGTGAAGGTTTACAGGGTACATAATTAGTTTTACATTCAACAAAATGCAACAATTACAATTCCCTCCATGCACCATCTGCTAACAGTATTCATTTTTTGCTCCCCTCCTGCCTTCCCTCTTTTTTTTTTTATTTTTTTTTGTGTGTGAATTGAGTGAAAGTTTACAGGGCAGATCATCAGGTTTTTTTTTATTATTACATTCAACAAATCATATACTTTGTTTCATTACAACCATTATAATCCTCTCATGTACTATCAGTTAACAGTTGACAGTATTTCTCTCTATTCATTTTAGTTAGTTTGTTTTTTTAACACTCAGGCATATATAATAATTTAAACCACCAATGGGTACATTCTGTAAGCCTGCCTTCTGGCTGCCAGTTCTCAGTCCCTCTCTTTCCATAAATCTAGAGTCCTCAGGTGCTCCCTCTTTTCATGAGTCCCCATTTCTTTTAACCAGACCCATCTAGACAAGATGAAAATTATTCATTGGGGATGCTTTCTTCCTCTGCACACTCTTAAACTAAACTTCCTCTTGAAACCTTGTAAGCCAGTCACTTCATGTCTCCATCACTCCCTCATTTTAGGTAGCCAATATCTTAAGTTGTTCATCCTATTTACCCTATGTACAGAGGGGATAGGATTGGTATTTGATGTGAAGACTCCTTTCCTCTCAGTTGGTATTTAGAGTTACTACCTCCCCTGAGTATAGGTGAAGCTCATCAAATTGTAGCAATTTATCATTTCCTTTATCAAAAATTGTTTGTTAAAAATTTCCTAAAAAGAAAAATGCAAAAATAAATAAATAAATAAAACCAACAACAACTTGGATATGGGTTCTGAAATTCACTGTGCACAATTAGAAGGTATGTGGTGGTGTGTTCTTTAGATGGTTGACAGAAATGAGTGCCAGATATAGAATACCACACAGGAGACAATTAGTTCAACAATTCATCTGTTTATATCACAGTTACTTTAGTATACTTAAAATATATCTTAAGCCTTAGTGAGTAAAAAAATATGTAAGAAGACAGCAACAATATGACTTTTGGTTTAAATACTAACCATCTCAAAAATTATACCATTTTATATTCCATCAAAACAATTAGATCATATGGTTCAATACACGAAACTATTAAGTGGTTAATATTGTTTACTAAGTTGTTAAAATTTAGGTTTGTTAGTCTCCAAGGTAGATAAAAATTTCTTAGGTAGATTGATTTTTATAATTTTGCCTCCAAACATGAATATTCTAAGTACTTAACCTGGAATTATGTATAAAATAAGCTTTCTTTCCTTCCAAAAGACTATTTTACTCCACTCAGATCTTGAACTACAGTTCAACTATGGTTCTCCCCCATGGGTTTTCTTCTTCTGGTTTAAAAGTATATATTGCTACCAGCGACAGCCATTTAGGTGATTTAGACCAACCCTCCAGCTGAAGATAATCAGAAAAGCGACCTTTTTTCTTTTAGCTTTCTTTTTTTTAAAATCTACTTGAATGCATCCAAGAACTAGCAGAATAGTGAATAATCATAACCAGAATCTATACAGAAGTCAGAAGATAGGAGCACTGTAAACATTTAGGCTATTTCCCTACTGAGGGCATCTACCAGTTCAGAAAGAGGTAGGTGAGATGCTGAAGAAAGCTTCTGAAAAGTAGAACAGCTCTCATAAGAACTGCAACCCAACTTCAAACTAAGAGGAAATCCTTGAAATCTTATTTTTGGTGAACCTGAATTACTAGTGCTCCTAAACACCTTGTACTCCCTAGAACAGCATTTCTCAGTCAAAGTTCTTTTGGTAAACTACCAAACCAAGAAAATTATTTGAGTATGACTATTTTCTCACTTCTATAACTAGCATTATTCTAGATGGACAGGAGATAAATTAATTCATTATGTACAATAGATGCTTTAGGGTTAGGGTTGCATATTTAGCTAATAATAATACAGACAACCCAATTTAAATTTGAATTTCAGATGAATAACAAATCCATCTTGGAGGACATACATCTCCTTAGAATTCAGGATGTCAAGACTTCATCTTGCTTACTGGACACACCACCATGAAAAACCAATCTCGCTAGAAAAGGAAATCAAATTTGGTAAAGCAGAGGGTCAATGAAAATGAGATGAACTGACACAGTGGCTGCAACAATGGTATCAAACATATCACAGAATGTGAAGATGGCACTGCTGTTAGACATAAGGTTGCTGTGGGTTGTTGTTGACTTGCCAGCAACTAACAGCAACAACAGTATTAAACAAAATAAAACACTGGAAGAATTCCCACTAAAATCCAAAAAAATAAGAGGTAGCTTTATGATGCAGACTGTTGTTAAGTGCCATCAAGTCAGCTTTGACTCACAGTGGCCCAGTATAGGGTTTCTGAGGAAGGGCTGGAGAGTTTGAAGCACCACCTTGTGGTTAACAACAATGACAGTAACATATGTTGTTGTTGTTAAGTGCCATCGAGTCGGTTCCGACCCATAGCCACCCTGTACAGGGTTTCCGAGGGTGTAAATCCTTACGGGAGTAGAAAGCCTCATCTTTTTCCCATGGAGTGGCTGGTAGTTTCGAACCGCTGACCTTAAGGTTCGCAGCCCGATTTGTAACCACTACGCTACCAGAGCTCCTTACAGTAATATATAAGAGGGTCTATTTCTCACACTTGATAATTTCAAGTATCATTTTATCAAAATATTTGCTGGCTTGCTAGTTTATACTACATATATATTTTCTCACTAGGGAAATTAAACTGGATAAACAAGTCCAGTACTTACCCTACAGCGTCATGTAAATTGTCACTTTCTGGAGGATAATTTTATAGCATAATATCAAAAGCCTTAAAATGTACATACATCTTTCTTTGACTCAACTATCTTCTAAGAATACTAAAATAGAGACACACAATAAAATTTTTATGTAAGAATGCTGAAAGAGGCAACATTTAAAAGTAAATAAATAATAAAAGAGGGGCAGTACTTGATGGAGAATTAGAGAGAAGAAGTGTACACACCTCCACCAGTAATAACACAGCATACCAGATGAAGCAGGTTCAGGGGACGATCCTGGAATTCTGAACTACATATAAAAGAATGTTTTGAAGCATCAAAGGTTTATTGCTAGAGGGATTTGTAGCAGCAGAAACAAAGGTGGTGTTTTCTGATCTGTGGCTGCCAGTGGGTCCCAGAGCAGCCATGTTAGGTGTAATGGAGCATGTGAAGGATCAGCGGCGCACTCCCACAGCAGAGATCTAACTGATCGTATGAGATAGAGGTATTAGCTTTTTTTCTTCCTGTTCATTTTTCTCTGTTTGTGTACCTCCACTCTGGTGATTAGTAGGGGTGCTTGAGCTAGTGGATACCTTTCAACCCCCAGAGGGTCCTACTACACATGCACACAGATCTGCTCAGCAAAGATCACTGGGACCAGATTCCAAGAAGGGGAAGAGTCAATAGGAAGAGCTTAAAATGGCTCTGGCCTGCCCTGGAATGTTTTTCACTAGTAGAAATGCCTCAACACACTTAAGGAAAGGAGAGACAGACAAAAAAGGAAAGACGTCAAAAATTAAATCTTGAGTTAATGTCATAAAGAGTAATGGTAACATCCTGAAATTTCTCAGGCAGCTATGAATGCAAGAAGAAGAAAATAGGGTGTGTTAAAGTCTTACTCATATTTTGCAATGGGGATTTTTTTTGTGGGGGGGGGAGAAGGGTGGACCTTAAATTTTAATGCCAAATATTTTTTGGGGGTTTTTGTTGTTGTTGTTTTTGTTTTTGGTTCCCCTTTTACCTTGGGGGAGGCGGGGAGGACTCTTTTTCTACCTCTGTTACCCAAGAAGACACAGGAAATACGGACATATAGCCAACGTACAACTGTACCCTATAAGATACCGCCATTTGGATAACAGTCAATATCAGCTGATATACATTACATTGATCATTATTGGTGATTGGAATGCAAAGCTTGGGAGCAAAGAGAAAGGATCAGCAGTTGGAAAATATAGCCTTGGTGATAGAAATGATGCTGGAGAACATATGATACAATTCTGCAAAACCAATGATTTGCTCATTTCAAATACCTTCTTTAGACAGATAAGAGATAACGATACACGTGGACCTCACCATATGGAATACATAGAAATCAAATTGACTACATCTGTGGAAAGAGATGATGGATAAGCTCCATATCATCAGTCAAAACAAGGCCAGGGGCAGACTGTGGAACAGACCATCAATTACTCATATGCAAATTCAAACTGAAGCTGAAGAAAAT